GTAGGGAAAATAACCTGTGGCATATTTGTGGCCTGAATCAATGTCTGGTTTGAAATAAAATCCACATAGTCAAGCAAGCAGTGGAACATCATTAAGATTAGGAGTGCAGCTGTCTGTATTTTGATCTGCTTGGGAGATTTTCACCTCAAACTTCAACTACCCTTTAAAAAAAGTGTTCAGCAAACTGGTGACTGGATTATTTTTCCTTCTGCTGAAGACATTAAGGATGGTACTGCTTTTTAAGCAACCCAAGTAGCCAGAAGTCATAAACTGAACACTCCAAAGTAATGAGATTGGCTCTAAAACTCATAAGGGTTTTTCATTATTTGTTCCTGTTAACTTGCTTTCTAGGTTTCAAACATTATTTCCTCATTTGCCTGGGGCTTTTGTGCTTTCCTTTGCAAAAATAATACAAAAAAATAAAGGTGCTGCATTTGTATGAGTGTGGGTCCAGAGAGTTACATGTGCATGAATATCTCAGAGGAGAAACCTCTAAGGGCCTGACCTCCCCTTTTGGAGGTGGCCATGGGATCCTGAGGTCTCTCAAATGATTCTTATATCAAAATAATCATTAATTGCTTTTACCCAGGAACTTAGCATGGGTAATGAGATACGTTTGGCTTGCTGAGTTATGAGCTATTGTTTGCACTGTGCCCTTCCCTGTTTCCTTCCCTAGCTCTGAGAAGCTGAGGTTAACTCTCCTGCCCAGGACCTTCTCACTGCACTGACCACTCTGAGAATGAGCTGCTCTCTCCAATCCTCTTCCTGGGTACCAGGTTTTGCAACAAATATTCCCTCCCCCCCTAGGTCTTCTGAATTAAGGAGGATGAAGGAGAAGGAAAGAGAGAAGTACCTCTAAGAGACATTGGTGACATAGCAGACTGCACTTTTGGAAAGGGTTTAAGCACCAAGATGATGGAGAACCTGAATCAAGCAGAGCCTGGTCCACCACAAAGGAGCTCAGAAGTAGGCAAAAGCCATACGTGATTGTTCTGAGAGGGAGTCTTTTATCTGGGCTTTTTTTGATTTTTTTTTTTGATTTTTTTTTTTTATGGTTTATGGTTGTGTTACTCCTGCCTTATGCTACTGGGGGCCAAGAACACGTACTCCCTGCTGTAACAGCCTGCAACAGGAGACAGAGCTGGCAAGCGAAGTAACAACTCTTGTAATTCACTGACTACACCCTAACAAATGCTGTTAGTGAATACAATTAGCATGAGGCTATTCTTTCTTTGTCTAATTTATAACTTCTGGATTGGCTGTCTCTGTATTACATTCTCCTGTGGTTCCAGCCACCTACAAAACAATTACTTCATTAAAGAAGATGGGATAGTTGGTATTTTCTTGTGGATAATGCCAGACTTGTCCTTCCTGGACGTGTTGGGACTGAGCTGCTTCTGAGACCATTTCCCAGAGCCAGCAGGTCCCGTTTGGCTCCTTCCCACTAACCACAGCAGGACCTTAGGGGATGGAAGGCAGCACAGGGAATGCCCAACAGCTTCCAGGTTCAAAACCCCAAGGAGACTGCTCTGTTTCTGCTGACCTTCAATGAGAATTCCTCCTGCAGTTGATCCCTCTGAGGTCTCTTTCCACCTGCACCTCGCAGTTCTGGACCAAACTGCTTCTGCCGAGGTGCAAACTCTCTCTCCTGTGTCAGGTGGCTGTCAGCCAAGTCCTGCACAGGGGAGACTGAACCTGCCACAGCCTTCACATCAGCATGACTCAGGGCTCTGCTGGCTTTTCCTTCATGCTGTAGCGTCACCTTTCACCGGTATTGGAAGGGAGCAGGTATGAACCCAGGGAGCAGCTCAGGTACATGGGTATTTCACTTCTTCTGCCTGGGGGGGGTTTGGGTAGTTTATCAAATAAGCACGGGAGTTGCACATGGAGGGGTCAGCAGCGACACGAGCTGATCATTGGGAAGCCCTCGAGCTGCTGGGGACTTGCTTTTCTCTTCTCTGCAGAAATATCCATCTGGGTAAGGGATCTGGAGACCCCGTCCTGGGCAGCTCCCACACTTTCTATGGGGGAAAACCCATCGATTCACTATCCACAAAGCACAGCCCTCCCCTTCCATCCCCCCGTGCCCGGAGGGCGCTGCCTGACCCACATTCTGCGGTAATCCAGCCGTGCTCCCATCCAGCCCGGTGCCTGCCTGGGGCTGCGTTCTGTGCCCCCGCCCAGGGAGCTGCTGCTGACACCCTGCCCCAGCAGGCAGCCCAGGGGAGCTGGGCCCCCCGCAGCTCTTCAGCCATGAACAGCACGGCTGTCGTGTGCCACGTGGAAGGCGATGTGCTCTCCTGGGCAGAAGATGGATCAGGAAAGTGCCCAAGCTCCAGTGCTACCTGCCAGCTTATTCAAAGAACTGCTACAGAAAGAATTAAGTTCTTGCTGGTCTGGAGAAGCTGGGCTGAGAAAGGGATTCACTTCCTTTGACCAAGGGTCTTGGTTGTCTCTTAGAGCAGCAAAAAGGAGCTTGGTGTCTGTAGACACTTAGCTTTGTTCTGTGCAGCATGGGCCAAGGTGGCTGGAGATGCCCCGCTGCCCCGCCAGGCTGCTCAGACCTCCTGGTCCCTTCCGCCGGCCACCTTCAGGGAATGTGAACAGAGCCCTCCTTGTGGCCCCTCGTCAGCAACACAGCCCAGTGCAGGAGGAGGTGGAGGGCGTTCCCCAGGCCAGTACCTGCCGTCACTTACCACCCCCGTGCAGCACGGCCACCATGATGGACGGGAACCACGACGTCTGGCTGTTGGTGGCCTGGAACTCCTGCTGGAGGTCCGTGAAGAAGACGCCGATGCAGGAGGGGAAGCCCAGCGTCAGCCCCTGCAGCAGCACTGCGGCGAGCAGCACCATCCATGCCCATCCCTGGTCCTGGGGCCCCTGGGGCTTGGCAGCTTTGCGTGCTGCTGCTCCTCCTTGGGGCATGGTGGCTTCTTTCTCCTCCTAAGACAGGCTGCGGCCACCATGCAACCCAGCGAATGGACCTACAGAGAAGAGGTGATGGTATTTCCGAGGCTCGGAGGCACCAGTGAGTCCCACACCTTCTGTGGCTGACACTCTAGACTTCTTGCTCTGCATTGCTTCTAGCACCTCCCTTCCTTCTCACTACAGGATCCTGGCAACAGATTGCTTGGGAAAACTGCCTTCCCCTTTTATATTTCACAAGACTCTGGCCACAGCCAGGTAGAGAACAGGACCACACCTCCTCTGAGGTATGAATTGGCCTTACCTACGTCCCGCCCTTATTTTCCCTTTCACCTGCTTTCATCAGATGGACTCCCCTTGCTGGCAATTGCTAAGGTCACTCAGTCCTCACGCTGAGAAAAGAAGGAAAAATGCTGCAAATGCCAAGAAAAACAGAAACATATAAAGCGTGTGTGTCACAGCAGAGCTCAGTGTGAACCTTTCAAGAAAACTTCACCTACCTACAAAAGGCTAGTGGTGAAAAAGTGTTTTTAAAGCTGATAATTAATTAAGATCTAATGATCTCAGATAGGCTTTTGCTTGATGTCCCTTTAGTTCTAGAGCTTCTTCTGAGCGATCCCAGGTCTGAGACGGGCAGCATGAAATATATAGCAACAGCATTCCCCACACAAATAAACATGCATCAGAAAAAAACCTGTGGCAGCTGCATGAGCACCAAGAAAGGGCCCATAAAGTCACTGCACGGTGCAGTAGTTATTTAACACTCCAACAGTGGTTTGTCCCTAAACCAATACCTACCTTTGAGTTTTGCATGCAGCTTTAAAAATGAATAATAGTTGGATTTTGCTCATTATTTCAAATCTGCCATGGTGGCTGAAAGTGGGTTTCGTACCTCAGGCAGAGAGCAGAGCTGGTGAAGGGCAGGGCAGGGGCTCATCCCGTGTGCGCAGCCTGCTCAGCTCCTGGCCCGCGGTTAGATCCTTCTGCTTCAGTGGTGACCAAAAGCTTTGATGAAGCCTTTTGCAATATTAACCTAGGCATCCCTTCTGTAAACAGGGCTCTCACGCCGGCTGGCTCGCAGCCAAAAGGACAAAAAAGGGCCAGGAACGGATGGGGCCCGTGGGAAGGGGCTCTGAGATGCAAATCACGGTGGTGGTGCTCCACACTTTAATCCTTTGTCCACTTTAGCCGGGAGCAGATAATGCAACTAATTCAAGGGCTTGTCTCTCTGGTGTGAATTGGCTGGATGACAGCCTAAAACCTCTCCCCGGCAACAGCAGACCTGCAGGAAAAGGCAGCAGCACAGCTCCTCTCTGGTCCCAGCTGCACTGTCCAGCTCTTGAGCCTGTCCAGCAGAAGATTCCTGGCTCCCCTCTCCTCTCCCTGTGCGCCTGCTCGCTGGGGAGGACTCTCCAGCCGGGCTGCAGACCCCGTGGCTTTCATCCCCCTCCTGCCCTGGCTGCAGGACAGCTTTGCCCCTGGGCAGCCCGACCTGCAGTCGCTGCAAGGACCCTGGAGATGTGCTGCCGGGCACCGCGTGGCCTCTTCGCTGCCTCCTCCTCCTCCTCGCTGCCTGCATAAAGGTAAAGAAACAAGTCGGTTCCAGGTTCCAGCGCTGGCTTAGCCACACCGACCAACAGCAGCGGGCAAAACCTGGGTTTAACCCTTCCCAGGGTTACCAGGCAGGACGGCCAGTGCAGATGCGGGGGGCTGGGGCGTGTTTTCCTGCTCCTACGGGCTTGATGTTCTTAGGCAACCTGCTCCTGACGCTGGGCAGTGAACATGAGAGAGCAGGGGCATGGGTGAAGCAGGGGCAGATTGTCACATGTACGTGCTCATCCCATGCTGGTAGCACTGGGACTCGGGCTGAAGTTCACAGCAGGAGCCACACCTGGGTCCTGCTGGCACCAGTGTGCTTTTGTTGGGAGCAGACAGACCGGTGCAAAGGTGCTTCCCTCTACCAGCCCGTGCAGTGCCTGGGGATGGACGGGTGCCCTGGGTGGGACAAGGAGGAACCCAGTGCTGGTTTCAGTCCTTCTCCATGGCTACTCTCTGCCCTGATGAACTGATTCTCTCTCATTCAGGTCTGAACGTTGTTTCTTCTTCCACTGACCCCCAAGACACCAGCATTAAAGCTTTACTGGATTGCCCTACCTGTGATGGCAGCAGACCAGGAGTGCTCACACAGTGATTCTCCGTGCTTCTTGTGTGCCTCAGTTTCCCTCGGGTGCAATAGGGGACAAGCAGCTGCTGGGATGAGGGTTGCTGGCTGCTCTCTGCAGGGGCAGGAAGCCCTTTTTGCTGAGAAACACAAGGGCCTGGGGCATTTCTGTAGCTCACCTCCTAGGAAGAGGTTTACATGTAGCCTGCAAATGATGATGATATCTCTCTATGGTACCTCTGTGGGCAGAACAGCAGCCCTACAGCGGCTCAGGAGGGTGGCCCAGCAAAGTCAAAAGTGTGGCTGAAGGGGGAGGCAGAACCACTGCCCCCAGTGGTGGGGCTTGGAGGGCTGTTCAGAGACAGATTATGTCTGTGGCTCGGGAGCAGGGATGGAAATGAGGAAAGTTTGTTGTTCATGGTCCATTAGGTCTGTGCATCCTCCTGCTGCCCCAGCTCAGCCCCAGTGTGTGCTGGACATGGATTTTATGAATGTGTAAATTAAGCTGCCTGCACAGAGGTGAGATGTTGACTGTAAATAGAGTGGGTGGTAAACTGTTTTTTTGGGGTCACTCAATGTCTGTTGGAGGTAGGAAGGCCAAGCACTTCTCTTGGTAAATACCTTTATAAGTGACTTTTAAAGTACCTTTTCATCCTAAGACCTTGGCTTGCCTCGTCATCCTCTCCCAGTCAGGTCGTATCATGTCCCAGCTGACTTTTCCAGGGTGGCCCAGTAAGGTGACAGCAGGGAACCAGATCTAGCTCTGGTGGAAGTGTTGGCCCAGGTGGTGCAGCCTGCTCCAGTGCTACGGGCTTGTGTCTGTGGGATGCCACTTGTCAGCAGGCTGGGGCTGGGGCACGGTGGAGGTGGCTGCAAGTCCCCTGCTCTGTGCAGGTCCTTACCAGGGTGTTACAGCTCTGTAAGTCAGTCCTGAGCTCAGGAGCCTCAGCAGCAGTTTGAGATCAGACCATGTGCCTGGAAACTAAAGTGCAAATGCCTCAGAGCTTGCAAATCACCGTTAGGAAAGACTAGTTGAATTTGTTCCAGAGATCCAGATTAGCAAATTGTCTGACAGATTGAGTCTTGCAGAGGAAGTGTCTCTGTGTGTGGGGGTGTTGTTTGTGTTGGTTTTCTTTTTTTTTTTTAAAAAAAAAAAGCAAGGAAAACTAAGTGGCACCTAAAACCAGACTCCTGGCCTGAGACTGAGGCAGGGACAGGATCTGAACAACCCTGGCAAGACCCTACAGAACAGCTCTGCTGGTGCTGCAAAAATGGGGCTATGCCAAGGATGGGGGAAGTGCTGCTTTACCCTGAGTTTCCCAAGCAGTTCCCATAGCATCAGTCCCACATCTTCCCCCTGCAAAGGGCATCAGGGTCCTGCCTGCACTAATAGGTCTTAATTAGCCTGACCAGCCTCATTTTGGGCCTCCTTCCACACCCCCTCTGCCCCATTTGCTCCCCAGCAGCATTTAAGCCCAGTTCCTTGCCTCATTTAGTCTCTGATCTGTCTCACCACCGTTTTCTCCTCTCTTGGGCTGACTTTGGATCTGCCTGGCTCGTTAGTCACTAGCAACGTGGGTGTAACACCAGGTAGCACTATTTTTGGGATTCTGTTTCAGGACCATTAGCTGGTGCTGGGGCTAGCACTGCTTGGTGTGGAGATGGGGGTGGGGGTTGAGGAGGCAGCTGGCACCAGAGCATGTGCTGACAGCTCCATCAGTTTGCAGGAATCCAGCAAGATGCAGCTTGTCCCTGCTCTTTATCCAGGTGGCAAACCTCTGGCTGGTGAGTGATTGCAAACGGTCTGTGTGCAAGCTGACCCTCGCTCCCAGCTGCTGCTGCCCCCCAGGAGCTGCCCGTGGCTGCCCCAGAGCCTGTGCTTTGTGCAGCAGGGTGCCAGGAAGGGCACCTCTCCCCGGGGCAAGGGGGATGGCTCTGGGGATGAGTCTGAGCAAGATGTGTGTGTGTAAATTTGTGCTGGAGGTGGCTTGGAAGTAGCTCTGGCTCATGCTGTGTGATACCCTGACCTGCTGTGTTGTCCTGTGCTGCTGGTGGCATGGGGCAGGGGGACAAGGACTGGTGGTGCCATGGGGCTGCCCAAACAGTCAGAGGTCATTGCTGGGAACCTGGCTGAGGTTACTGAGGGTATCTGGAAGGTGCTGCTGCTTTTCTTTCAAAAACCTTCTGTATTTGTGAGGGTGAGGAGGGTGGTGTGCTCCCTGGAAAGTGGGGCTTTGGAAGAGATGGAGCTACCTTATTGTTAGAGGCATGAAAACATAGGCAGTGGATGAGGATGGGTCATGGGGAGGGGGCAATGGGCTGTGCTGCAGCTGTGGGGGAGTCTAACCCTGCTCCATCCCTCCCATGAGTTGGCATCTGGGGACTCTGAGCAGTGGTTCGGGGGACCCTTTAGCAGATCTCATCTATCAAGCTCTTAGTTGCCATTTCCCTTGGCTTTTATTAATGAGGAATTAAGAGAGTTAGTGGAGGAAGGATCAAGAGAAGTGTTTTCCTGTGGCTGGCTGCTGGGTCCTTGGAGCAGCTGGAGGAGGTTGTTGGGGGTAGAAAGTGTGCAGCCAGAACTTGTGGAGTGTGGTATTTGGAAAGGCAGCAGGTTTTTGGGCTCCAGCCAGCCAAGAGAAGCAGCCTTGGGCATGCTGCTTTCAGCAGATGCTCTGCTCTCCCAGCCAGGCCCTGCTCAGGTCTCTTGTCCGAGGACAGTTGCTCCAAGGAAGGTGCAGGTGGTGCCTAGAAGTCACAACAGGGCAGAAAAGAAGATCCAGGAGTTTGGTGCTGACACCTAGACTCCTTCTGTCCACCACAGAGGGATCATGATGTT